ATATAATGTTAACAAGAATGAGAAATGAAAAAATGATACTGTTTAAGGATAAACACATAAAATTATAAATAAATCAAGACTACTTCTGAAGGTAAAAAGGATGGGATGGAACAATGGAGGTCCACAGGAACCTCAAAGTTGGACACTCTTCCTTAACCGAGGAAGACATATATGGGGTTCATCCTCTATCTTACTCATATTTCATGAATTCCTGAATTCTATACATTTTATAGCTGTGTCTGTATAACAAAAGGACCAACAATAGACACATATTCCAAACGCATGGCCTTCCTGCTATGTGGCACTCTCTGAGTAATGACTACAGTATCAGCACCTCAAATGATCAAGCCTGAAACCCAGCAATCTCCAAGGCCTCCTTTTTCTTGCTTTCCACACATTACTACATTTGCAGTCTTGCCAATCAATGTGTCATAAGTTTGTCCAACCCCCATCACCTTTGCCTCTGCTCCTGCCAAAGCCACCATCGTGGGCTGGTGAGACAGCTTAGCAGGTAAAGGTGCTTGCTGCCAAGTCTGACCACCTGAGTTTGGTCCCTGGGACCCCTGTAATGGAAGGAGAAAACTGGCTCCACAAAGTTTTCCTTTGACCTCCATATATGTGTTGTGATGTGTATACACAAATATACAAACACATAAACAAATAAATGTAATTGAAAAAAAAAATTAAAGCCACCATCACCTCATAATTGGACAACTGCAAAAGCTTTCTACCCAGGACGGCCTTTCAGCATGTCCCTCAACAGCTAGACTAACCCATCCTTCCCCGCCTGTGTACCACCCCTCCATATCCTTCCACACCTGAGTTCCTGAATTTGTCAGTCCTTTTACTTGTCTTTTTGTTCATTCTATTGCTGACTGAAATTCTCTCCTATTATCCCCTAACCACCAATGTCAGCAGGGCACTGTTACTACCTGATGCCCTATATAGTATCCCTCAGCAGCCTGCAGTATCCTTCAGCATAATAGTTAATTATATATTGATGTGACCACTGACAAAAGTCTGACTATTCATCATGACTGCAGGCACTAAAACAGGCAAGGGCAGTATTTGTTCTGCACAGTGCACAGCCAAGCACCTAGAAAGACTCAGTAGCTTCAGAAAGAATGATGGAATTTACTAGATTACAGCCCTGATCTCCCTAGTCTTTTTTTCCAATTAGAAAAAAGATGGAAGCCAGTGTGGTAGCCCACACCTTTAATCATAGCACTCAAGAAGCAGAAGCAGAGGCAGGCAGATCTCCATAGTCTAGTCTCCATAGTGAGTTCCAGATCAGCTGGGGGCCACAGGGAAATCCTGTCTCAAAAGGACAAAAAAAAAAAAAAAGAAAAAAGAAAAGATGGATGGTTCTCACTGATAAAAAGGGCCTAAGGGTCCTGAGAGTCCCAAATTTATGGTCCTATGTTCTTCCTCTATTGCCTCAGATGGACTTTGTGACTCTACTCTCTGGCTGCACTATCCATCCTTATCATCTTTGTCATCCTTAGATGGAAATGTCCTCCCCCACAGCACATTGTTTGTCCTTGAAAAATCTAGTTAAATTATTTAGGACTTCAGTTGGACATGGTGGCACACACCTTTAATCCCAGCTCTTAGGAGGCAGAGGCAGGCAGACCTCTGTACTTCATGGCCAGCCTGGCGCTACAGAGAGACCCTGTCTCAACCCCCGACCCCAAACAAAAAACCCAACAACCACTAAAAAGCTTCAGGAGAAATCAGTAGCTAAGACAGCTTCCTGCTCTTCCAGAGCACCCACTCTTACAACTCCAGCTCCAAGGTATACAACACCCCCTTCTGGCCTCTGTAAACACCTGTACTCATGTGCATATACCCACATATAGACACACATATACACATAACTAAAAATAAATCTTTAAAAAAAGAAAGTGTATAAGCCGGGCATGGTGGCGCACACCTTTAATCCCAGCACTCAGGAGGCAGAGGCAGGTGGATCTTTGTGAGTTCGAGGCCAGCCTGGTCTACACAGTGAGTTCCAGGACACCTGGGGCTACAAGGAGACCCTGTCTCAAAGACACACACACACAAAAAGAAAGCGTACATAGGTCTTTAGAGCTCAGCAGGCTAATGCACTTGCCACCAAGCCTGAATCTTAGTTTGATCTCCAGGACCCACATGGGAGAAAGAGAGATGGTGCGTTGTCTTCTGATCTTCACAAGTGCGCACACACACGCACAGGCATACATACATACACTTCATATTTAGTATTATTGTTTGTCTTTATAGTCTAAGAATTTAGCACAGGCCTAGACTTGGAGGGTAATAAATGTGTGTCAATCAAATGAAAGACAATAACAGAAAACAAAGTATGACATAGATATAGCTGTGGCTACCTCAACCCTGATGTATTTTCTTCCACTCAAGATCTACTTGGCATTTTAAGATATGATACTTAACTGTTCTTTAGTACTTGAGACTGAACCCAGAGTCTCATGCTAAGCAAGTACCCTACAACTGAGCTATACTCCCAAGCCCACAGGACACATCTGAGTAGACCAACTGATATGCTTTAGATGGGTACTGAGGCACAATCTTGTAATCTCAGTGACTTTGGAGACTGAGGTAGGAGGATTCTGGTTCTAGGCCAACCTGAGCAATTTAGACTTCCATCTCAAACGAAAAACAGCCATAACTAGTATGTTTTGAAAATTCTTGTTAGGACTTTTTTTTTTTTTTTTTTTTTTAAGAGATGGAGATCTCTAGGGCTGGAAGATGAAAGTACTTGCAGAGGGCCCAGGTTCAGTTCACAGCACCCACATAGTAGCTAACAACCATCTGTACCTCCAGTTCCAGGAGATCCAATGCCCCTCTTCTGGCCCCTGCAGGCACTTCATGCACTTGGTACACCTACATACACACAAGTAAAACAGTCATACACATACAATAAAAATATTTTGTTTTAATTTAAGAAAAGGGGAAAGTGAGCTGGAGAGGGGACTCAGCAGTTTAGAGCACTGGTTGATCTTTCAGACAACCCAGCTTTGATTCCCAGCACCCAAATGGCAGCTAACATCTATCTGTAACTACAGTTCCAGGGGATTCAACACCCTCTTCTGACCTCCCAGGGTATCAAATGACATGGGTGCACTTACATACATGCAGGCAATACACTCATACACATAAATAAAATAATGAAACTTTTTTTTTTTTTTGGTCTTTTTGAGACAGGGTCTCCCTGTAGCCCCAGCTGTCCTGGAACTCACTATGTAGACCAGGCTGGCCTTGAACTCACAGAGATCTACCTGCCTCTGCCTCCCGAGTGCTGGGATTAAAGGTGCCACCACGCCCAGCAATAAAACATTTTTTTTTAAAAAAGAGAGATGGGGGGTTGGCATGGTACACTTGAGAGGCAGAGGTAGTTAGATCTCTGTGAGTTCAAGGCCAGCTGGGTCTACATCATGAGCTCTAGGCCAGCTGGGGCTACAGGGAGACACTGTCTCAAAAAGAGGAAAACAAACAAAACCAAATCAAAACAAAAAAAGATGGAGTCTCACAATGTTTCTAAAACCAGATTTGAATGCCTAGGCTCTATGGTCCTTCTACCCTAGCTTCTAGAATCCCTAGACTATAGGCTCGTACCACCTTGCTTGGCTAAACTGGCTTTTTCTACTAAGCAATCTGTGTAGCTCTCATGTGAAGGTAACCTGGCCAGAAACAGGAGGTAGGACAATGTGGACAGCATGAAAAGCATTTATTTCTGCAAGATGAAATCAGCTTTAAATTCCTATCAAGAATTCTTAGAAAGCAGCCCTACTGTTTGTCCGGTGCTTACCTTTTGCAAGTCAATGGAAAGCAGCTGAATGAAGGCTTGGAGCTCTTGTTCCTTTTGTTCCAGGGCTACAATCTTATTTTCTGCACCTGCTTTTGAAGCTGTCACATGATCTCTTCGTTGAAAGAAAGCAGACAATGAGCAAATTTGGATATTTCATCTATGATACACTCTCCAAAGGAAGAATCACATGATTCCTTATATTTCAGGCTATGAACATTGTTATAGCCACAGAAGTTTATCACTGCAGAAAGATTCTTGGCTTTCTGAAGCAGAAGTCAGAAGAGAAAAAGTCCACCCAGGTTTAAGCAAGAAATCCTGATCTGTCTTTGCCTACTCAGTAACGTTAAAACTCAAACCAGACTGAATTGCTCAGCAGGACTGGAATGGACCTGTGTCTAGGCAGGTGAAGGAGAGAGGGGGCTGGTGGTGGAATGGGGTAGAGGGCTTGAGGCCTAGGCAGGTAGGGACCAGTCCAGAAGCCTTTGCCAGCACTGAGATCAAAAAGAGTTGTGATGAGCAATGAGGACAGGTGGGTGGGCTACAGCAAAGCTACACCACCACCTCTTCCCAAGGGCCCCACAGACCAAGCAAGAACCTCTGCTCTTCCAGCGCTGAGTGGTGTCTCTGCAATTCTTCTAGCCTCTGGCTTAACTCTGATGACATCTGACTGGAAGTCCTCAACTCATCCTGAGTGCGATTAAGTTCTCTGGTTCGTGCCTCTAACTCTTGCTCCAATTTCCCCAGACATTCTTCTTTTTTTAAAAGCTGATATAAAGAAATAATGTTTCACTAGGACATTGCTAAGAAATTTACTTTAATAAAATGAACAGTTAAGGCTGGCAAGATGGCTCAGCAGGTAAAAGCTTGCAACAAAAGCCTGATGACCTGACTTCTATCCCTGGATACCATGGTGGAGAGAACAGATTCCTGAAAGTTGTCCTCTGAACCACACATGCACACACACACACATACACACACACACACACACTCACTCACTCAAAGAAAAAAAGAAAGAAGAAAAAGGGCAGGAAAATGTAGTATTTTTGGGGGGTGAGAAGTGGGCTTACATGTTTACTACTTAAAATAGAAAGTAAAAGATATATTTCAAATAGAACTTTCCATTTTAATCAGTTTAAAAGCATTGAAATGTGATTTTGTTTGCCAGCAATTAGAGTGTTAACTTCAAAATCAAGAGTTACCAGGACTTCCTACTCCAGGCTTTATTACTTAGCTTCTAAAACAAAAATACATACCATGTGCTTTACTTTACTTAGTTCTTGCTGCTGGAACCCCTCTAATTCATCGATTTCATCTCTCCTTTGGAAAAGACTCAAACTCTGGTTCTTCACTTCTTGCAACTGAGCTGTCAGAAACCTTTTCTCCTATTTGAAAGAAGACAAGAGCAATTAAGGCAACTGACAATTAGAAATCTCTATCATATAAGCAGAATTTTAGTATTTAAATTATGTGTGCACACACACATACAACAACATATGTACAGAGGTCAGAAGACAACTTGAGGGAATCAGTTCTCTCCTTCCATCATGTGGGTTCAGGGGATCAAACTCAGGTTGCCAGGCTTGGTCGCCAAGTACCTTTATCCAGAGCAATCACACCAGCCCTCAGAAAATATTTTGAGACAGGGCCTCACTAAGTAGCAACCTACTGCTGGAAGAATGGTCCTAGAATAATCACCTCTTCTATGTCTAGCCAAGAGGTTCTCTTATCTCCTCAGTGTTAAGTCTTGAGAAATGCTCTGGTCCCTCCTGTTTTGTTAGGCAGTATTCCAATGTGACTACCAGGATCAGTCAGGGTCCAGAAGGAAAGAGATAGCAGATTCAATGTAGGGATCTTGAGGATGGGTTAATAAAAGGATTTATTAAAGGTATGATTTGGGTAAGAATACCAAAAGAAGTACTCTGATCTGATAGGAACTGTTAAGCTGGGGTGGGGGACTAGAAGGAGGAAAATGTTACAAGAATCTCAAAGAGAAAAAACCATGTCAATATGTCCATCTGAACCAAAGGTCCCACTGAAGCTTTAAGTATTGGTCAGAGGCTATAAGAATCACAAGGGACTCCACATGGTGTCCTAAGTGACTGACTCCTATCAAAGGCAAAGGGCACCAAGCCCAGGTGATGCAGCAGCCACTAACCTTCAGGTAAATAAGGAAAAGGCTGGGGGGTAGGTAGCAGGAAGAACAAACAAAAGATACCTAGACTGCCAACCTTGGAAGAGGAAGAGGGGCTGCTGAAGTCCATCTAATCATCTAGTGTCCTGCTTCTAAGAGCAGTTCTGCACAGTGGTGGTTTTGGAGATTGAAATTAGAAACTCATACAATGCTAGGAAAATGTGCATCACTAATGTATATCCCCTGGTCTTTTTTTTTTTAAGGTTTATTTTTAACTATGGGTATATGTGTATCTGTGGGTGGATAGGTGCACATGAGCACAGGTGTCCCTGGAGGCCAGAGGTGTCAGATCCACCTGGACTTGGAGTTACAGATGGTGTGAACTGCCTAATATGGGTGCTGAGAACTCAACTTGGGTAACTCTGCAAGAGCAGTATGCATGCTTAACCATTGAGCAATCTCTCCAGTTCCCTTTAAACTTTTATTTTACAAAGTATGTGAAATTTGTTATTTTATTTTTATTTTTTGTGCATATGTGTGAATGTGGGCATGTATGTGCTATGGTGCATGTGTGGACAATTTTTGGAAGTTGGTTCTCTCTTTCCACTACATGAGTTCTAAGGATTAAACTTAAAAAATAAAAAATAATAAAAAAAAAAATCAAGCTTGGCAGCAAATGACTTTGCCCACTGAGTTATCTAGCCTGACGCCTCTTTTGAGGGAGTCCCCTGAGTATCCAGCCACTCTTCCCAGCCATCTAGTCCAGCCTTGGAAGACAAAAGAAAAATGAGGAAGAACCCAAGAGGGATGCTTTTGGAAGTCCTTGTCAAGAAACTCTAATGGATTCTCATATGAACATTTGAAAATTGCTCTGTTCTGACTTTTTTCTAGTTCCATCTAGAACTTGTAATGCTAATTACTCTTGCCTTTACTTCTCCTTCACATCTCCTATTCATGATTCAAGGACCAAAGACTTTCTTCTCCCCTTAGAGACAAGAGTTATGCAATTTGGGAGACTTTTAGATATGCCCACTGAAGGGGTATTCCAATTGCCTCACTATGCATCCCTGTTCACCATGGAAGAAGCCAGAAGTCTGCGTCCCTATTCCCTTTTGGCAATTTGGGTAACCCCTTCAGAGGATGGTGTGATAAGAATAGGAGGTAGGAATTGGCTAGGCAGTTAGGGTAAAAAGACCCCAAAGAAATGTAGCCAGTTTCTTGGCTAAAAGTCAAAATGTCCTTGAGCCTCTTAGCAACATACTCTGTTCCAAAGGCCAAGAATGTCAAAAGTATTTGGGAGCTTGTATCTAATCCTTAAAAGATTTTAGGGTTACCTCTTCAGAGGGGAGAATGTTGGAGGGGAGGGAGTGGGCATGGATTTGATCAAAACACCTTATTGCATGTATGAAATTCTTAATAAAGTTTTTGTAAAAATTTAAAATAAAAAAATTTTTTGAGGGAGGTAGAAATATAGCTCAGTGGTTAAGAGCACTTTCTACTCTTCCAGAGAATTGAAGTTTAGTTTCTAGTACCTACATCATGTGGTTCACAACCACCTGAAACTCTAGCTTCAAGGGAGTCAATGATTCTGGCCTTCGTGGGCTTCCACACACATCACACACGCATACACACGCACGCACTCACATTTTTTTAAAGCTTAAAAAAAGACTGAAAGGAAAAAAAAATAAAGACAGTACCTTACTAAGTTGCCCAGGCTGGTCTTGAACTCTCTGTAGCTAAGGCAGGCCTTGACCTTGCAATCCTCCTGCTATAGCCTATCAAGCAGCTGGGATTACAGGCCTTTGACAACTAGACATTTCTTTTGAGATAGGGTGTCTGTTTAGCTCCAACTGTCCTGGATTTGCTATGAAGACCAGGCTGGCACCGAACTCATGGAGATCTCTGCCTGCCTCTACTTCCAGAATGCTGGGACTAAAGGCATGTGCCACCAAGCCCAGCACTGAAGAAGACATAAGACATTTCTTTCTTTTTTTTTTTGGTCTTTTTGAGACAGGGTCTCCCTGTAGCCCCAGCTGGCCTGGAACTCACCATGTAGACTAGGCTGGCCTTGAACTCACAGAGATCTGCCTGCCTCCGCCTCCCGAATGCTGGGATTAAAGGCATGCGCCACCACACCTGGCTGAAGAAGATATTTCTTAAGCCCCCGAGATGAGGCCAGAATAAATAAGGCAAAAATAAAATGACTAACCTTTTCAAGCTGATCCATCTTTTCTGACCATTCCTAAAACAAAACAAAATAACACAAGTACAGTTTCCAGGGAAAAACATCTTTAATACTAAGACTTTTAAAAAACAACTTTCCCCCAAGAACTATCAATCAACCAAAAAAGTGAACAATAAGCAATAACATAAAAGAAATAATATAAAATTGGCTTAGTATGGGGCTGGAGAGAGAGCACAGTAGTTAAAAACACTGTTGTTGCAGAAGACCTGGGTTTGTATCCCAGCACCCACGTGGCAGCTAACAACTGTCTGTAACTCCAGTTCCAGGGGATCTGACAGTCTCTTCTGACCTCCACAGGCATTGCACAACATGGGTGCACTTACCTACATGCAGGCAATACATGCATACACATAAAATTTAAAAAAAAAAGGCTTAGTATTAAGAAAGCCAAGAGGCCTAAAAGGAAAAGAAAGTGAGCTTCACATAGACTCCTAGAACTCAGGTATAAGCCTGCAGGTTTCTGCCCAGCAGGCACTAAAACATACGGAATTGCAGCCTCCATGAATAGCACTACTTTTTGAGAGTGGGTAGCTAGTATCAACTGTGTCAGGTCACAGCAACTGACACTTAGAAATTATCTTACTGAAAGTAATGGAGGGCACTGTCAATTGTACCTCAGTAATTTTCTCCCTCACCTTGAGTTCTCCAACATGCTTTACACCCCCTGGTGTATGTCAAAGAAAAGGGAATATTATACCCCTTATTCACAAACTATAGAATACAAGGAAAATGATCATTGATATAAAAGACTATTATCTTGTTATCAGAATATATCAGTGAGTAGTTGTAAATAGTATTTTTTTGTTTTTTGTTTTTTTTTAAAAGACAGGGTCTCCCTGTAACCCCAGCTGGCTTGGAACTCACTGTGTAGACCATAGGCTGGCCTTGATCTCAGAGATTTGCCTGCCTCTGCCTCCTGAGTGCTGGGATAAAAGATAAGAACCACCATGTTTGGACAATAAGCTTTTCCTAAATCAGGATTATCTTTATAAAACATTGATGCTTAACCGGGCGTGGTGGTGCACGCCTTTAATCCCAGCACTCAGGAGGCAGAGGCAGGATCTCTGTGAGTTCAAGGCCAGCCTGGTCTACAAAGGGAGTTCCAGGACAGCTGGGGCTACAGGGAGACCCTGTCTCAAAAAAAAAAAAAAAAAAAAAAAATTGATGCTTAAATTTAAAATGATGCTGACTCTATCAGACAAAATATACTTTATAGCTATTGCAATAGGCAGTAATATTACTGTATTTAAAAAATTTGTTTCGGCCAGGCATGGTGGTGCACGCCTTTGATCCCAGCACTCGGGAGGCAGAGGAAGGCAGATCTCTGGGAGATCAAGGCTGGCCTGATCTATATAGTGAGTTCTAAGCCAGTTGGGGCTACAGAGTGACCCTGTCTCAAAAAGACCATAGAAAAAAATTGTTTTGTTTTAGTATTAAATTTTTTCTTTCTTTGGAGACTGGCCCTCATGTAGCCCAGGTTTGCCTTGACTTCATTATGTAGATGAGGCTGGCCTTGAACACCCTCCTGCCTCAAACTCCTACTCCTAAGTGCAGGGATTACAGGCCTACACCACCACCCATGACTTATTTTCATTTTTGTTGCCACTCACTTCGAATCTTTCAGTTGATGGTGCTGTGGACATCAAGGAGGTCCCTTGTGTGTATAGTTAGCTAAGATCAAAGACACCTGGGAGAAGGGGCTGGAAGGACAATGTGAACTGCTGACAGGTGTGATGGCATCCCACACTGTAAAAGGCAGCCTTTGGGGGTGTATGCTTGGGGATAGGTTTTTAGAGAGCAAGAGACCTTTTCCCTTATTTGAGGCTCACTAGATTACAATTATTCAAAGATGCACAGAGGTAGAGAATGAGAGTCTCACATTTTTAACACGTCATGATTAAAATAGTCAAGTATGAATCATAAGAGAAGGTCAAATGAAGCTGCTCTTCTCAAAGGGAGGGACTCTAATTAGGCTGACTAGACTTCAGTGGATGAACTTGCGCTGAGGGATGTCTGGGGATACGTACTTGACATGACAGGCCTTAACACAAATGACAGAATGTATGAATTTCAGTGGGGGGGGGTATGAGAGGGCGAATGGGGAAGGGGGTAAAAAGATGATTAAGATGTTCTGTATGGAGACCCTGTCTCAAAAAAGACCAAAAATAAATAAATAAACAAAAATAAGATGTTCTGTATGAAATACACATTTAACAGAAAATTAAAAATTCAAAATAAAAAAGGTCAAATGAAACCCTTCTGGGCTGTAAATATTTTCTAACAGGTCTATGTCATGATTTTAAAAATATATTTTACTTACTATATTTTAATTTTATAATTTTATGGGTATGAGTATATTGCCTGCATGTATGTATGTAAGTATATCCACATTGTGCAGTGGCCAAGGAGGTCAGAAAAGGGTGTCAGATCCCCTGGAGCTGGAGTTACTGACAGTTGTTGGGTGCCATTTCGGTGCTGGGAACTGAACCTGGGTCCTCTGCAAGAGTAGTCAGTGCTCTTAACTCTCCAACTCCCGCCCCCACACAATGATTTTTGAAGTCATGTCACCAAGTGAAATCTTTCTTCCAGTGTTGGGCAGTGCCACATGTAGAATACCTGGTCCTTCCTGGCTAATGCCAAAGCCAGTCCTTCTGCCATTTTGGCTCTGTTGGCTTGGAATGTCTCATTCTGCTCTTGAAATTTCCGCATGGAAGCTGTTAACAAAGAGGCTCTATTTGAGATTTACAATACTTCAGAAACAGCATGACAAACAGCCCATATGATCACTTTACAAATGCCACCAAATGAAAAAGGCCAAGGTCATATAAATGGATTATGAGACTGGGAAAACTCTACTTCCCAGAACTGTGTTGCCTTGGTAAAATATAGCAGTTTTGTTTGCTGTTTGGGTCCTTATTTTTGTTTTCTGTAACAGTGAAGATGCCAAACAGTAGATTTTAGAATGGTACAATGACGAACACTTAGATAGGTGGCCAGAAAACACCAATGCTGCTGTAAAGTAACAGCCACTACCTTTTTTTTTTTATCAGAACTGAAAACAAAAACAAATCAAAAGCAATGACAAATAAATTAAATAACATTTTCTTAGTTTTTCTTTCTTCTTCCAGTAGCATCTTTCTTGGCTAATAGTACCAAAAAGAGAGCATAAGCTTTAGGACAGGTTAAGATAATGAGAGAATGTATGTTCACTCTACTGGGTGATGACAGAGCTTTTCTCCAGTTAGTCAACACAGCAGTACTGAAGCTATGGTAGTAGGTTAGACTGAAGGACCAGGTACTGTACTGTATTAAAATCTAAGGGTAATCAATAAGTGGGTCGACTGGATAGAGAGGAGTACAAAATGATCCCCTCCTAAGAGGCATGCCCACAAAGCAACATGAATACACTTATTCTTAATAATTATCAGACAAATGTGACATCAACCTGATAAAGAATAGTATAAAATAGGAGTTTAGACAGGCAAATTTAACAATATACTATTTGAAAAACAAGAGCCTGAGAAGATTAAAGAAAGCAGGAAAACAATACGTACAATCCTGGTGTTTTTCTAATGCAATTTCAAGCTTCTCTTTTATCTTCTGCAAGTTTCGGACCTGCTCAGCATAGTCTTGGGTGAGGAGGGTGACGCACATACCAGGAATGGACAAACATGAGGAAAGGAAGTTAATTAAACAAAAAAATGAGTGAAAATGATGATGATTTTCTTAACCTGAAAACCAGTCCTGTTAAGGAAAGCTAGGCAGACAGCCTCCCATTAGCAATGAACACAGCAAACAGGCACAGTACAAACTTTCCATGGTATAAACAGTGAATACACATAGGTAGATCTGTTCAGCCTTGACAAAACAAGTTAGGCTGGGCCTGGTCATCAGAAATGCCCTGATATGAAAAAAAATCTACTCTCGTCTTTATTCTAAGTCTCAGTGCTCCTTCCCCTGTTGATCTTAGCAGCAGAGCAGATCAAGGGACCTCACTTAAAGCTCACTTGCAGTCCATACAGCTAAGCAACAGTGGTTAGGGAAACAGTAAACACCTTAGCATAGAACTGCCTTTATGGTATAGGTGCTTAATACTCTGAACAAGTATGCTCCCTTTCTATACAGGAACTGACTGACCTATGCCATACCAAAGATGAAAGTTAGAATTAATTACCTGGGGATCCAAGGAAAATAGTTTGGTACAGTCCAGAGATAGGAGTTCAAATCCCAACTTGGTCAGTCCTTACCTGGGGCTCTTCTAAGTAAATTACCAAACCCGAGTATTAGTTTTTTCATATACTGATAATGTTAATTATTTCTATTTTGCCAGGCATGATGATGACGCACACCTTTAATGCCAAGACTTGGGAGGCAGAGGCAGGCAGATGTGAGTTCAAGGCCAGCCTGGACTACATAGTGAGTTCCAGGTCAGCTGGGGTTACAGGGAGACCCTGTCTCAAAAAAAAAAAAAAAAAAAAAAAAAAAAAAGTAAATCTATTTCAAAGGTAGCATTAAAGTATTTTGTATGCTTTAAGAACTTGGCATACAGTGATGAATAAAACACAGATGCTATTGCTGTTATTCATACAAAGCCAAGGACATTTCCCAAAACATTAATAGGGCTCATGATTATTGATGTTCTCTCTGTCCCCTCTCCATCCTAAGCCAAACTCAACCATTCTCCTTTCTGTATGAAGTAAAGTACATTACATTAAAGCTATTGTCCCATGAAGCAGCAGTTACTTCACTTTTATCACTGGTATTGTTTGTGGGTAACAAGACAGTAAAACTGAGTTCATTAAAGGTAGATATAAAAAGATCATAGTAAGTGAGTTTAAAGCAGTTTGAGTAGGAGCAAAAGCCAAATCTGCATTATCTTAGCTCTACCACTTACTACCTATATGACCTTAACCTTGCTAACCATAAGAAGCCTATATTGAGGACAAATTGATTAACTGATACTTGTGCACTGTGAGCTTTTGGTAGCTATACACATCTATTTCATGTATAATCTAGTGAATTTTGGTTTACCCTTTTCACTTCAATAAAATGGGCATAAGGTCAAGGGACAAAAACAGACACACAAACCATGAACCACCTAACAGGATGAAGCTATCAAAATACATTCACTGGCAGAAACCAATACAAGTACTCACAATTCTATCATAAACATTCCTTGCTCAGGCAAAGGACAAAATGGGAGCTGAGTAAATTGTAAACTGAACAGGGATGGGATGAGTTCTGTTTCCTGAAGAAGCAGGTGCTATTCTGGCCCCAAAGCCCCAAAATAATACACAGGTGATACGAGCTGAACAAAGTACAACCCAGCACCAAAGTCTCTCTGCAGCTGATATATTCCTATAGACACTTGCCCCTACATCTCTCTACCCGCAAGTAAGCTACGCTAATGGTGGGACATGGTTAGATCTATATATACTATTCTCATTGTTTAAAAGATTTAAAAAATTCCATTTATTATTTATTTTGCATGCATGCGTATGGTGCTCAGGTGCGTGCAAGTCAGAAGAAAACTTGTGGAATTCAGTTATCTCCTACTGAATGGGTCTCAGAGATCAAATTCAGGTTTTCAGGCTTGGCAGCAGGTACTTCTACCCTCTGAGCCATCTCCCTGGCCTTTCTCTCTTTTTTTAACTGTAGTTTAGACTGGCCTTAAACTTAGAATCTTCCTAGTGGTGCACACCTTTAGTCTCAACATTCAGGAGGCAGAGGCAGGTAGATCCCTGTGAGGTCAAGGTCAGTCTAGTCTACATATTGAGTTCCAGGTCAGCTGGGGCTACAGGAAGGCCGTCTTAATGCCCCCATCCCCCACCCCCCAAAAATCAAAGGAATAAATTGCAGATTGTTCCTTTCTAACCAAGATCAAAATGTAATGTCAAGACTACTATAAAGTCATCCCATAAAGCTGTTTCACAGAGGGGGAAAGTCAGGCAAGACAAGGTTCCTGTGTTTGCTAAGCGGCCTCTTAGACATACCAGAAAGTCTGGCCTCTAACTTCCGGATTTGTTCATTTCTTCTCAAAAGTTGGGATGAGAGATCTTCTCTGGAGCTGCTTCCATCAGAAGCCTGTTAAAGTAGATGAAAGGAGAGGTCAGATTCATGTGTGTTTCTAGCACTGTGAGGCCACGGTACTAACTAGAAAGCAACACAGATTTAGTTACCTTTTTTTTTTTGGTCTTTTTGAGACAGGGTCTCCTTGTAGCCCCAGTTGTTCCAACTCACTATGTAGACCAGGCTGGTCTTGATTTAGTTACATTTTAATTGGTTGGGTTCACTAAAAAGCTTTCTTTCTTTCTTCCTTTTTTTTGGTCTTTTTTGAGACAGGGTCTCCCCAGTAGCCCCAGCAGGCCTAGAACTCAGTACGTAAACCAGGCTGGCCTCAAACTCACAGAGATTATTTTAAAACTTAGGGGAACTACTATTACTTTGGGTACCTCTTGTTGCTGCTAAGATATAATTGACTATTTTTTGTTTTTTGTTTTTAAGACAAGGTCTGGTCTTGAAGTTGGGGTCAATCTTACTGGCTTAGACTTCTGAATGTTAGGATTACAAGCATGAGCCACTATGTACAACTGATATACTAACTTCTTTTTCTCCATTTTAAAATATATATTTATTTGTTTAGTTAGTTAGCTAGTTAGTCTGCTTATTTGGGGGCATGCCTGTTGGAAGTCAGAAGACAATTTGTAGGTGTTGGTTCTCTCATACCATGTGGGTCCTGGGGAGTGAATTCAAGTTGTCAGAGTTGGTAGCAAGTGCCTTTACCTGCTGAGTCATCTAACCAGTCTGGATTTACTGACTTAAAAATCTTATTTGCCAGGCATGGTAGCACACACATTTAATCCCAGCCCTTGGGAGGCAGAGGCTGGCAAATCTCTATAAGATTGAGACTAGCCCAGTCTGCATAACCAGGTCCAGGAACACTGGTGCTATATACAGGGGGATCCTGTCTCAAAAGACAAAAATCAAACAAGAAATCTTTATTTATCCATTTTCTTTTTGACTGAGGCAAAGAGATGGAGAAAAGTGTGTGTGTGTGTGGGGGGTGAGACAGGTAGATAACAGGGGCTCATTGGCTACCCATTCTAGCTAATAGGGTGAGTTCCAGGTTTAGTGAGAGAGCCTGTCTTAAAAAAAAAAAAAAGTAAGAGAGACTGGGGAAATAGCTCAGCAGGTAAGAATGTTTGCTCTATAAGCATAAGGTCCCAAGTTCAAATCTCCAGCCCCCAAGTAAAAAGTAAGGCATGGCTGAATGTACTGTAAGCCCAGTGTTGGGGGAGTAGGTACAGACACAAGGATCCCAAGAGCTTCCTGGCCAGCCAGCCTACCCCAAATGGCAAGCGTCTCCTTCAGTGACAGGCTGTCTTAGAGGAATAAGGTAAAAAGCAATAATGGAGACATCCAATGTCCTCCCCTCCTCTGCATCTTAGACACCCATGTGCCCGTCACACTTCCTATACCAAGAAAAAGGTGGAAAGCAAAAGGGGAAAATTCTGGTCTCTACAGGTGCATGCACAGATGGGTGTACTCACATACACGTACACGAGTACACTACACACAGAAATAAAATGTACAATATTAAAAGAAAATTTTTTAACTTTTTTTTTTTTTGCCTCAGTCTACTCAGTACTGAGATTGAAGGTGTGTGCCAAGATAACCACAACTGAGTTTTTACTTTTAATCCAAGCACTTAAGTGGCAGAGGCAGAGGTAAAGGCAAATGGATCTCTATAAATTCAAGGCTAGGTTGGTCTATAGAGTTCCAGGTTAACAAAGGCTACATAGAAAGACCCCGTCTGTCTCAAAAACAAACAAAAAACCCAACCCCAACCCAACCCCCACCCCTCCCCAGAAAAGTCGGGAGAGTTGTTTGCTTAATGAACTTTTCCTTACAATTGAAGATTTGTTTTTCTCACTTAAAAAAAAATTATTATTTTGGCAGGGCGTGGTGGCGCATGCCTTTAATCCCAGAACTTGGGAGGCAGAGGCAGGCAGATCTCTGTGAGTTCAAGGCCAGCCTGGTCTACATAGTGAGTTCCAGGCCAGCTGGGACTACAGGGAGACCCTGTCTCAAAAAGACCAAAATGTGTGTGTGTGTGTGTGTGTGTGTGTGTTTGTGTGTGTGTGTGTATTTTATATGTGTGTGTGTGTGTGTATTGCCTGCATGTATGTAAGTGCACTCATGTCTTGCAGTGCCTGCAGAGGTCAGAAGACAGTGTCAGATTCCTTGAACTGGAGTTATAGACAGTTGTTACGTATTGTCTATATTGAGTTCCAGAACAATATAGGGTCTCCTGGGACTACCAGGAGACCTTGTTTCAAACAGAAAGAATGGTATTTCCCTTCTTAGGCAAAATTCCATTACCACATCTAACAAAATTTAAAATAACATGAATACCAGGTCTTTAATGTTGTTTCCTCATTGTATCCCTCAGATGTTTTTATAGACAGCTAACAATTCACCACTTACTTAAAATATCTATTTACTTGTTCACTATTTGCCCATTCAATATTTGCTAAGAGTCAGTACCTTTCTTTTCTCTTCTAGAATTGAGTATTAAGAAAACTAGGACTTCTAAAAAAAGATTTAATTTAAAAAATTTTTATTTTATGTGTATATTTTGCCTGCATGTAGGTAAGTGCACTATGTGCATGGTGCTCATAGAGGCCAGAAGAGGGGATTGGATCCCCAGGATTTACTGATAGTTGTCAGCTGGGAACTAAAACCAGGGCCTCTAGTAGCATAGGAAGTGCTCTTAACCACTAAGCCATTTATCTAGCCCCAGGCTTTTCTTTTCTATACTAAGGTTTGAACCTAGGCCAGTGCTCTGCCACTGAGCTATAGCCCTAGCCCTCTAAATATATCAAAGACAGGTAAAAGGAGTCTGTGGAGTCATAGGATACAGGTTCAATTCCCAGTTTCACCACTTCTTAGCCACAAGAACTTGAGTTGATTATTCAATTACTTTGCATATTGTTTTTCTCATTAGAAAACTGTAACAGTGAATATGGTTGACTTCACAGAACCGTATGAGGGGTAAATAAAACAGTATTTGTCAAATGCACAAAAGAAAAACTGGCACAAATTAGTTCTAATACATGTCATTTACTACTGGTTGTCTTTGTTCAGGCTGCTGTAACGAAATACCACAGAAACAGACTTCTCACAGTTCTGAAGTCTGAGATGTGTAAGATCAAGGTCCCTGGAAAGATTAGAGTTCAGGAAGGACCCACTTTTTGTTTCACAGATGGGCACCTTTTAGCTGTGACCTTATATTATAAAGGGGGAAAGGCAGAGCTCTGGAGCCTTTTATAAGGGCACTAATCCAAATACCCATGGCTCCTGACTCATGATCTAATCCTCTCCCAAAGGTTCTACCTCTTAATGCCACAACATTGTTGAACTGTGGAGGACATAACCATTCAGACTATAGCTTTAGTAGTAAAGGGGTGTTTTGATTATTACTGTGAGATGTCCTAGGTTTCAGTTGTGCTAAACATTAAGAATAGTGGTGAAACTGCAGAAGCAGCAGCAGCAACAGAAGCTATTTATGAAATGCTTCTTAAGAGCCAGGTACTCTGGGATCTTTGTTTCTGTGGTACTGAGGATGGAATCCAGGGTTTCATGCATGCTAGCAAGCACTGTACCACTGAGCTACACCACCAGCCCAAGAGTCAAAGCTTTGTGCATCATGAAAAACAGTTAATGCTTAAGACTTGAAACTATAGCCTTCTGAGAGGTCTTCTTGTAAGCCTGGCACTTGACTGGCATTTGAGAACTTACATTTGGAGAAGGCTCTCATCATCCCATCATTCCTATTGTTTCTAAACTATTTGTGCATTAAGCATGATTTATATTGAACACCTCTGCTTCTGGAGTCTGGAATTTTGGTACATGGTACGTACAAGTGGCCTGTATCACTAGCCTCAAGTAAAAACCCTGAATGCTGAGCTGGGCGTGGTGGCACATGCCTGTAGTCCCAGCACTTGGGAGGCAGAGGCAGGCAGATTTCTGTGAGTTCAAGGCCATCCTGGTCTACATAGTGAGTTCCAGGACAGCTAGGGCTACAGGGAGACCCTGTCTCAAAAAAAAAACAACAACCCTGAATGCTAAGTCTCTAAAGAGCTTTCACAGCAGACACTGTACATGTGGTGTTACAACTCGGTGGTGGAGGAATAGTGTCCTCTGTAACACCAAAGGAACTGGAGTTTATGCCTGGTTTTTCCAAGCTTTACCCCATATGCTCCTTCCCTTTGCTGATTGTGCTTTGCATCCTTTCACTGTAATTAATGATGACAGTCAGTGAAACTCTATACTGAGTACTCCTAGCACACCATTGAGCCTGGGGATGATTTGGGAGGCCCCTGACACATGTACTTTAAGAAAGACATTTTCTGGGGCTGGAGAGATAGTTCAGTGGTTAAGAGCACTGGTTACTCTTGCAGAGGACCAGGATTTGATTCCCAGCATCCACATGGCAGCTAACAACTATCTGTAACTCCAGTTCTAGGGGAATCCGACACCCTCCTCTGACCTCCACAGGCATCGCATGAACTGGGTGCACTCGCATACATCCAGGCAATACACTCATATACATAAACTAAGAATAATAAATATAGTTATTGCTATTTCACAGATATGGAAACTAAAGAAGAGTGAAAGAAACTATCATCATACAATAATTATGCAGCAAGAAAAGAAATCATATAATTTGAACTTTGATCTTTGTGAGTTTTTAAGTTTCATTTTAAGCCGGGCGTGGTGGTGCACACCTTTAATCCCAGCATTCGGGAGGCAGAGGCAGGAGGATCTCTGTGGTTTGAGGCCAGATTGGTCTCCAAAGCAAATCCAGGCCAGCTGGGGCTACAGTGAGACCCCGTCTCAAAAAGACCAAAAAAACAACAACAACAACAACAACAAAAAAAAACCAAAAAGAGCTTCATTTTATTGCCTCTCACATAACTACCAGCTTAATGGAAGAGACCAACCATCAAGTCGTCTCTAGTGACGCAGCACAACAGGTACTACTGCAGAAGTTAGCAGAAGATGGCACCAAACTCAGGAGTAAAGGGCAAGGGCCAAAGGAGCTCCCAGAAGTGGCATGTGCGGAGTCTCTGTAGGATGTCCAAGAGCTATTCAAAGGGACACGTGAAAGAGGGAAAAAGAGGAAATTCAGACAGACTAAATAGCATAAGAAACATTTGTAGGAAGGAAGCAATGAAGCCTACTTCAGGAAGTTCACTCAATCCAGCAGTATAAATTGAGTGAGGTGAGGCTGGGGAGGTCAGATGCAACAAGACCATCAGTTTATTATCACACCACAACAATGTGTTCTTGAAGAGAAAGCCACTGAGAGACCTGAACAAGTCTATTTTTAGAAAGATCATTTGGGGAAAAGGTATTGGAGGCAGGGATCCCAGACAAGCTACTATGATTAATCCAGGAAAAAAGGGCAGCCTGGGATAAAAAGGAAGCACTAGCAGATGGAGTAGAAAGGTTAAGTCTGAGAGACATTTGGGAAATGGAATCTAAAGCCTGGGTTGACTGATGAAGCCCCAAGAAATCAAAGGAAAGGGAGCCCTAAAAGCTTTCATGGCTTCTGGTCAAGGACTTGGAAAGAGAAGACTCAGTTACTGAACTCAATGTGTTCATTTTGAATCTGAGACAACATAAGGAAGGTCATCTGTTTAGAAAAATGTATTCAGTCAGCTATACGGGACCAGAGATAGGGGTAACAACCAGACTGCATAATTAAGTTCAAATAGGTTACTCAAAAAGTCTCAAAGCAGCAGGGCATGTTGGTATACACCTTTAAACCTAGCACTCAGGAGAGAGAGGCAGGCACATCTCTGTGATTTAGAGGCTAGTCTGGTCTACATAATGAGTTTCAGGTCAGCTCTGGTTACAGGGGGACCCTGTCTCAAAAAAACCAAAAAAAAAAAAAAAAAAAGCAGGCGGGAGAGAGGGGTAAGGGCTTAGTTCCCAGCACCCATATCAGGAGGCTCACACTTGCTTGTAACTCCAACTTCAGGAGACCCTAAATGCTCTGTCTTACACACACACACACACACACGTATGGACATGTAATTTTTTTTTTTTTTTTTTCTTTTTTAAGTAGGGCCCCCCTGTAACCCGAGCTGACCTTAAAACCATTATTTAGACCGGACTCTCCTGGAACTCACTACATAGACCAGGCTGGCCTTGAACTCACAGAGATCCCGGCCTCTGCCTCCCAAATGCTGGGACTACAGGCATGCGCCACCACGCCCGGCTAAGGACACATAATATTTTTAAATAAATAAAAAAATTTTTTGTTTTGGTCTTTTTGAGACAGGGTCTCCCTATAGCCTGAGCTGTGCTGGAACTCACTATGTAACCAGGCTGGCCTTGAACTCACAGAGATCCGCCTGCCTCTGCCTCCCAAGTGCTGGGACTACAGGCATGTGCCACCATGCCTGGCTAAACAGGTTTTCAGTCCTATTAGTAATTTTTTTTTCGGTCTTTTTGAGACAGGGTCTCCTTGTAGCTCCAGCTGCCCAGAACTCACTCTGTAGACCAGGTTGGCCTCGAACTCACAGAGATCCGCCTGACTCTCCCTCCCAAGTGCTGGGACTACAGGCGTGCACCACCACGCCCGGCTAAGGACATGTAATATTTTTAAATAAATAAATAAATAAATTTATTTTGGTCTTTTTGAGACAGGGTCTCCCTGTAGCCCCAGCTGACCTGGAACTCACTATATAGACCAGGCTGGCCTTGAACTCACAGAGATCCGCCTGCCTCTGCCTCCTGAGTGCTGGGACTAAATAAATATTTTAAAAAGCAAGAGAATTAAAAACACAAAATTCAGGACAGTGCCTACATGGCAGGGTAGCAGGAACTGGGCAAGCAGCATGTAAATGGCTTTCATAGTACTCGTAACAACATTTTACTTCTTGTATGGTGCTAGATTTGCTTCATAATTTCTACTTTATGTATACACTGTGTTTTATGTTTTCTTTCTTTGTAGTGCTGGAGATTAAACCTGTTTTATATTTTAAAATATATGGTACATACATTCACATATAAGTATATCAAGTGCTATAAGCTCTTAATATGTCATTTAATTTATAAGACGCCTGTTATAGGCTAAAGATACAGTTTCATCCTTAAGCATAATCCTTTCCTAATAGAGGAGCATTATTAGCTTTGAAAAAAATTTTTTAATGTCTCTTTGAGACAAGGTCTCCTTGTATCCCCAGCTGGGCCTGGAACTCACTATGTAGACCAGGCTGGCCTTAAACACAGAGAGATCCACCTGCTTCTGCCTCCCAAGTGTTGAGACTGCAGGCGTGCGCCACCATGCCTGTCTCTCCTTTAAAAATCTTAACCAAACACACAAAAAAGTACTTAACAAACAATATGGCATACTGAAGCCACCAGTGTAAACTTCTCAATAAAACTGCATATGCTGGCTAACACCAGACCTTCTCAATTCACAGGCCTAGTTGAGAAAAGGTGAGCAGGGTATGGTGGCACACATCTTTAGTCCCAGCATTTGGGAGGCAGAGACAGGCAGATCTCTCTGAGTTCAAGTCCAGCCTAGTTTACATACTGAGTTCCAGGCCAGGGGATATAGGGAAACCCTGTCTCAAAAAGACCAAAAAAAGAGAAAAGAAAAGAAAAGAAAAGAAAAGAAAAGAAAAGAAAAGAGAGAGAGAGAGAGAAAGAAAGAGAAAGAAAGAAAGAAAGAAAGAAAGAAAGAAAGAAAGAAAGAAAGAAAGAAAAACAGTGACTTAAAAACAGTTGTTGAGTGACTGGAGAGATGGCTCAGAGGTTAAGAACACTAGTTGTTCTTGCAGAAGACCTGGGTTCGAATCCCAGCACCCACATGGCAGCTAACAACCGTCCGTAACTCCAGTACCAGGGGATCCGAAGCCTCTTCTGACCTCTGAGGGCACGGTGCACCACAGGTGCACGCACTTACCTACATGCAGGCAATACACGCATACACATAAGATAAAAATAATAAAAAATTTTAAAGAGGTTTAAAAAGAAGTTATTGGAAAGATTTAGAAAGTACATCCAGACTTCAACAAATACTCAAAGCAAGAGAAGATACTTACAAAGTCATCTCCTGAGTCAGCTCCCATAGAAGCCACTGACTCCTTGCTCACAGACCGTGGGATCCTAGTGGCGCCTCCTGGCCTCTGAGCAACAGCAGTCTCTTCGGCAATTTTCTTCTTTAGTTTTGCAAACATTTTTGCTGTGTGGCTGTCTTGCATGGACGACCAATTCCTAAATTCCTCAGTAACTGGGATTCAGAGAGAAGTGTCTAAAAATTTCACACCAAGCTGGCTGCATCCCACTTATATGTGGGCCAGGGAATTATGGCAACACAGTATCTATAAATCAGATGAAAGAAATAGCTCCAAGTTAAATACTGGAAAGATTTTACATTTCAGTTGTCAGGTTAAGCTTCAGATTTCAATAGTAAGTTTCAAAACTTAAATATGTATGTAATAGAACACAATTACCAAACATTGCAAAAGCATTCAGGAGCTTCACATACATATATAGGTAACGAACATCCAGTCTTGAAGAGGTGAAGTAACATGCTAAGGACTGTGTGGCTAAGTGGCAGGGGCTAGTAACACAGATCCATTGACTAAAAAATTTCACCTTTTTAATTGCTGTTTTGATAGACCATTTTGGCAATGGCATATGACACGTAGTAAAAGTCTCCTAGGTCATAACGACAGACAAAAGTCTGGTGCTTTTTTCTAAGCCAAAGACACAAAATATGAGCCAGGCATGATGGTGCATGCCTGTAATTCCAACACTTGGGAGGCAGAGTGTGAGTTTGAGGCCAGCATGGTCAACATAGCAAATTTCAGGCTAGCCAGGGTAACATAGTTAAGACCCTGTCTCAAAAAACAAAAGAGCAGCCAGGGGTGATGGCACAAGCCTTTGATACCAGAACTTGGGAGGCAGAGGCAGGTGGATCTCTGTGAGATCAAAGTCAGCTTGGTCTACATAAGGCCAGCTGGGGCTACAGGGAGAGTCTGCCTCCAAAAGGAAGAAAAAAAAAAAAAAAAAAAAGAGGGAGGGAGGGAGGGAGGAAGGGAGGGAGGGAAAGAAAGAAAAAGATCAACAACAAAATAAGACACAAAATTTGCAACTAGGCTGGGTATGGTGGTGCACACCTTTAATCCCAACACACCTGAGGCAGAGCCAGGCAGATCTCTGAGTCCAAGGCTCATCTAATCTACATAAGTGAGTTCCACGCCAGCTAGAGCTACAGAGACACCCAGTCTCAAAAGACCAAAACAAAACAAAAAAACCCCAAACAACATATGTAACTCAACACTTGGTATTTCCTGGGGGAGGGGGGAACGGAACCTAGAAAATATAAAAAACAGGCAAGCCAGACAACTATATTTATAGGTATCATATACCCTTTTCACATCTCTGTGAAAATGCCATTTGATTTTTTATTTTGTACAAATCACAATTTCTTTTCTTCTGATGCAATGCTTTCACATGAGATTTAAAATTTCTTTCTTCTCAACAGTACATAAATCAGTAACACTGTTCCGACCTTTACTTGTGGAGTAAACACACTGCTCTAAGATCAAAAGATGACTCCTTCCACTTCAGTTCATCCATTAAGTCTGTAAAATCCTTCAAAATCTTTACCTCCAGTATTTGTCGACCGTTTAACTCACCTGTCTAATCTACTAGATTTAAGACAGTATGGAGGTCAAACCATTCTGGCCTGTATGAAAAAAAAAGATAAAATGGGTTGGATATTTCAAGTCCAAAACCAAAATGTTCAGCGGGGGTGGGGCAACAGAAGAGGCGGCAGAGAGAATTCAGTGGGTGGACTACAACTTCTCTTTAGTCCAGCTCTGAACGGGATGCCCCACAGGTCTCGATGACTAGCTTGAGTTTCACTTACAAGCAGAAGGAATCGCTCACTGCAGGAGATGCTTACATCCATTTCTCCCAGGGAGTCCTGAGCAAAAAAGCTCGAATCAGATTAAAGTTTCCCAGGGATAGCCTTTACTTCTCAGTGTTTACCTGGCCAGAGACTAGGTTGTCTGGTCCCGGAGCCCCGACTAAGTCCCGGGCAAAGTTGAGTGAGACAGAGGCTTAAGGTGCAGAGGTGCCACTCCCCCCACCCCCCCACCCCCCGCCGCGGATTCTACTCCAGCAGGCTCCC